TTATATGCTTTTGTCTTGGTCTAAGGTTTTACAGGGCTGTTGATGTGTAGTTACTATGGAGATAGATGAAAATAAGCATGGGATTTTTTTTTTTTTTTTACATCAAATTGTTAGCAAATTTCCTACATAAAAATAGGATGTAGAGTCTGGAGAGATGGCTCAGGGGTAGAATCCTGAACTGCATTTGCAGAGGACTGGAGTAATAATTACCTGGAACAGGGGATTGGATGCCTTCTTCTGGTCTCTGAGGGCATCTGTATTCATGTGCACATACCCCTTTCTGACACACACAAGCGCACATAGTTAAAAATAAAATACACCTTAAAAAAATAGGATATTGAGTCAACAGGAAGTCCAGATGAAGACTTTCAAAACAAAAGTAGGAGGTTTGAGACTTAGTGCAGTGGGGAGTGGGGGGGGGGTAGTCAGCAATGCTGACTTTGTAGAAAAAGTGTCCCCCAAACATTTTTGTTCAGCTTTACGTTGTTTCGTTTTGAGACAGAATCACATGTAGCTTGAGTGGTCCTAGACACTCTGTGTGGCTGAGAATAACACTGACCAACAACTTCTGCCTCAGCCTCTTACGTGCTGGAATTACAGGTGTATCCCACATTCCTGCCCCACCAGCTGAAGATGAGCAGCTTGCTATAAACACGTGAGTCACCAGCACTGAAGTGCACAATATACCTTACCAGGAAAATATTATCTTCCCTTCGGTGGGATTTGACTATTTTCAATGTTAGTAACCATTCTCTTAAAACAAAAGTTTTAACATGTTCAAATATATTGATGGTGCTGTTTCCCATGAAAACAGATTCTTTCTATGTGCATGTTCTGTGTTTAAGTTAGTGATGCTGTAACTCAGCTTTTAAAACATGAAAGAATGCTGCTTTGCTCTGAGTAAATTAAGATATGCTTTGTAATCTGACCAACTAATAAACAATTGTGGACAGGCACCCGGAGCAGTTTGCTCTTAGGAACTTCAAAGAGCGTTGTCTGGCTGTAGGTAATTACAAGCGTCCGTACGCTGTGTTATTCATAAGGAATCCCATAGGATGAGGGTGGTGCCCACAGTCACGGGGCAACTTGAACCGGAAGCTTTGAGACGCCAGTGTCGACAGTGGGTCCTCAGAGTCCTTGCTTTGTTAGAATGTGAGCAGCGTTGCCAGAAGGGGCATGTGTTATTTACATACAATAAATAAATATTGAAAGATCAGCTTAGTCTAAACATGCTCAGAGTAAGCTTATAGCACTGGATACTGAAAGAATGAACTCAGATTGTGGTCTTTCAAAGCCAAAATTCTTTTTTATCCTGTCTGTGTAAGATTCAAGTTAATCTTTAACCATAGTAACAGAAGCCAACGTGATTCCAAAGGGAGTTGACATTAAGTGTGTCTGAGAAGTGATAGATGTGTATCTCTTTTTGCTATATTACTCTTGAGAAAATTATACTTTGCTACATGTTAGAGATTCTATAGTCATGGGTGTTAAATTTGAAAATTACTTTAACAAATTCTATTTTCTCTAGATTTTTTTTCTTATGGCAACAGGAGGTTTGCTGTGAGAGTGTGTCTTCTGGGGGTGTCAGAAGCTACACCCATGAAATCTCACCAATGTGACTGCCTAAACACGAGCTGAAAAAGAACATCAACAGATTGCCGAAGTGGATGGGGAAGCCCAGGAAGCCTCAACTGTCCACAAAGAACTCCAGGCAACTGGGGACACCGAGAGCAGGAGAAACAGTCCTACCCAGAGAAGAGCACACCGACTGGCTAGTGAATTGTTTGTATGTTTTTAGCCGATTGTATACCAGTAACAATATACAGACTGAGCAGATTGTATTTATATATTTACGACTATATATGTTTGTATGTGTTTATGTATATCACACATATATTATTACACAAATATTATACATAATGTATGTGATATATATTACATACACACACATAACAACAATTAATGAAAAAAGAGGGCATGAATTTGAAAAAGAGCAAGGAGGGATATATGGGAAGGTTTAGAGGAAGGAAAGGGAGAGGGAAAATGATGTAATTACATTATAATCTCAAAAAAAAGAAGAAATATTTTTAAAAAATGAGCCAGACATGGCATTGCATGCTGTTAATCTCAGCACTTGGGAGGCTGAGGCAGGAGGCTTGTGGGATGGATGGAGGCTACCCTGGGCTATATAGTGGGCCCCCCATCTTATAAAAACCACACAAACAAAGCAACAGGGAAAGCCCCGGCCGCACAGTGTATCTGGCATCTGTACAACAAAGCAAAGCAATTGACTTCAGAGTCCTTTTGTTCCTGGGAGACGAATTGAGCAAACAGGACTCCTGTCCACACCACATATTCTTGGCCTTATGGATCGAGAGGCTGACATTTGGTTTCCCCAAGATGGGACAAGGTGTCTCTCTCTGCTGGGGCGGGAAGCAGCAGGTGATTGTAGCAACTTGAATTTGTGCACCCCATGTACACACCCACCTCCTCCCCGATACAAGGCATCCAGGCTGTTGATCCCTCTGAAGCTCAGCAAGTCCTAAACTTTGCAGCCTCCCATTTCTGCCTCCCAGGCTCTGGGGTGCCTGGGACAGCTTGTTCTTTTCTGAAAACGGTCTCCTTCTTGTTGTCCAGGACTATCTGGAACTTGTGGCCTTAACTGACAGACCTCCCACAGAGCCTCCTAGCATGTCCTGGCTAGTTTTATGTCACCTTGACACAGGCAAGAGTCATCAGAGAGGAGGGAGCCTGAGTTGAGAAATTGCCTCCATAACATCAAGCTACAGGCAAGTCTGTAGGGCATTTTCTTAATTAGTGATTGATGTGGGAGGGCCCAGCTCACTGTGCTTAGTGCCTTCCTGGGCCGGTGGTTCTGGATTTTATAAGAAAGCAGGTCTGGCGGTGGTGGCGCATGCCTTCAATCCCACCACTGGGGAGGCAGAGGCAGGTGAATCTCTGTGAGTTCGAGGCCAGCCTGGTCTACAGAGTGAGTTCCAGGACAGGCTCCAAAGCTACACAGAAAAACCCTTATCTCAAACAAACAAACAAACAAACAAACAAAACAGCAACAACAAAAAACAAACAAAAATAAAGAAAGCAGGTTGAGCAAGCCTTGAGGATCAAGCCAGTAAGCTGTACTCTTCCGTGGCTTCTGCATCAGCTCCTGCCTCTGGGTTCTTGCCTTGTTTGAGCTCTGGCCCTGTTTGACTTCCTTCCCTGATGGACTACAACGTGGAAGTGTAAGCCAAACAAGGCCTTCCCGCCTCAAGTTGCTTTTGGTCATGGTGTTTCATTGCAGCGGTATAGCCCTAGCTAGGACACGCCACCACGTCAGCTTTTATTACTTCCTGTTTCAGAACAAAGGACAGCCTTCTCCGCCCACTTTATTTGGTTGACATCAATTTTTCCTTTGAATGGATCCTTCTGAGGAGTTCGGAACCTTTCCGCCAAATGCTCATGCGATCGAACAAACTGTTCAGGCGACTCCAGTCCCTCAGCAGAAACACAGGCTCAAATCAAGTGATTCTAAACCGGAAGGGACTTTCAGGATGGAAAATATTCAACCTTCTGACTTTCCATCAGAAGCGCTGAAGCCTTTCAAGAGCCACAGAGCCTGAGTAGCAGAGAAACGGGCAGGAACCGGAAGTGCCTTCACCAGGATTCTCTAAGTGGAAGTCATTGTCTGAGGAGAGCTGAGGTCCCGCCTCCAGGCCTGTGTTCTTTCCTATGAGTGGTTACTAAGCAATCTTGGTAGGAAGCATAATTTTAGACGAGGTGATTTGAGCTTCATATTTAAAGACACAAATTGTGAGTCTGTTATATACAAACAGTGCCAAACAATTCTCTTCACAGTGCTTCATAAAACAATCAGATGCTGCATGGCTTTTCCTTATTGGGATGTGTCCTTAAATGAACTCACACACTTAAACCCTTCATCTTCTGTTCCTTCATTCCCTCTAGTCACTCACACACGGAGGGAGCTAGTCTGAAATTCTGGATCCTCTGGCCTATATTTAGACATAATTCTCTTTCTAGAACACAGTCTTCACCTTGGCCTTAGGAATAGACAGCCAAGTGCGTACTTTGCTCCTCCGAGACAAGCTGACCACCAGGCAAGGTGGACGTCCTGGGCTCTTCCTGTCCTTGGAGCTGATGTGTCTTTGTGCTCACAGTCTGTTTGCACAAAGCAAAGAACACTAGAAAGTAGGAACAGATGAAGAAAAGTACATTGTTACCAGCATCCTGGAAACAAATTGCAGTGGCCTGGTCTCCAGAAATTCACAGAACCTGCAGAACCTGACTTGGTGGAAGTTATAAAGTAGGGACACTTTTACAAACATGTGCACCTAGATAATTTTCATATGTTCTTTTGTTCAAAAAAATGTTTATTTTCCCTTTGGTTGGTATTTATTGTTGGGAGAAGATTTGATGTTGGAATGTATGCATTTATTTACCCAATAAACAGCTCCTTAACAACTACTGTGTTCCAGACATGGTGTTGGTACCTGGTGTTTGTACGTACTAAAAATAAGAAAAAAATTAAATGTGATCTATGCCTTTATGACTGAGATTAGTGAGACATAATAACACAGATAGAGCTCAGACTACAACTTGATGGGCAATATTAAGCAATATTAAGGAGCTGCACAGAGTTGGGAAGCAGAGGGATTTGACCTCACTGTGAAGCAAAGCAGAACCTCCCAGGAAACTGATGCTTCACTAGAAATGTGAAGGGGGCGGGGGCGGGGGTGGGCTGTGGAGGGGCTGGGTGTGATCACGCACACCTTTAATCCCAGCACCCAGGAGGCAGAGGCAGGTGGATCTCTGTGAGTTCGTGGCCAACCTGGTCTACATGGCAAGTTCCAGGCCAGCCATAGTTATACAATGAGACTCTGCCTCAAAAAGAAGTTGGGGTCATTAAGAGGGAAGAACATTTTAATTTAAAATAATCTATATGAGTATCTATGATAGAAGCTGTTGAAGGGACTTGGTATGGGTTTTTTGTTTTTAAAGCCATTTTTGTTTTTACTATAGCATGGCAAATACATTTGGCAGAGGTTAGAAAGAGTCTAGGTAGGCTGGTTAGGAGGTTATTAGAATGTAAACATGCAATGCTTCAGTAACAGAAGTAGAGACAGAAGTGGAAGAGTGAGTTTTGACAGACTGTAGATGGCTTGCATATGGAAGTAGAGAAGGTTGTCATGGTGATAGGATGGCTAGCCCACTGACACTGGGAAACACAGAGGGAAACTGAGTGAAGACATTAGGGGATAGGGGGAGGATGGGGTACAGGAAGTAAGAATCTGTGGTAAACCTCGTCCAGGAGGACGAGGCAAGTTGTTAGATGTGTAACTGTCTGAATCCCAAGGAGACAAAGGCTTAGGTACATGAGATTTCCACTCCTGAATCATCTCCAAATGGATGGTGGATGAAGGAACAGAAAGGAGAGGGCCAGAGAATATTTCCAAATTGATTGAAATTGAAATACTTCTCTCTCTTTCGGTTCTGCTTATTCACATTTCTCACCTTGCCTTGTACTATCGTGGACACAGCAGACATCTAATAAACATTTGCTTGTTTTAAGATAAGATAAGATAATAAAAGTGAGAACAATGCCTGCCACATAGCAGGTCATCAGTAATGCTTCTTCTTCCCCCCTCCCCCCCTCCCGAGACAGGGTTTCTCTGTGTAGCTTTGGAGCCTGTCCTGGAACTTGCTCTGTAGACCAGGCTTGGCCTTGAACTCACAGAGATCCACCTGCCTCTGCCTCCTGAGTGCTGGGATTAAAGGTGTGCGCCACCACTGTTAGAATTCTGCCCTCACTCCAGCTACATAACTGCACATGCGCAGTTCAGGAGTTAAGTAAAAGGTCTTGCGTCTTATGTCATCAGTGTGTGCTGGCGACTATGTATGGTCACACAATCTGTGCCTTAAAAAGCTGGATGCAGACCCCGCTCTCTCTCTGCTCCTGCCCCCACCATCTTTCTCTGCCCTCTGCACATGCTTTCCTCTCCAGGCCTGGCTCTCCTTTCTCCTCTCCTCCCCTATTTCCTCCTAATAAAGCTCTGAAAACTAACACTGGGTTCTGTCGTGATCATGACCTTTCCACTCGGTAACCAGCGCCACCACCAGCGCCATTTATCATCCTTTCAACCACCGCCTGGCCAGTAATGCTTCTTATATCTGAAAGGATAAATTCTTTTTTTTTTTTCCATTTTGAGATTTATTTATTACATATACAGTGTTCTGCCTGTGTATATGCCTGCCTGCCAGAAGAGGGCACAAGATCTCATTATAGATAGTTTTGAGCCATGATATGGTTGCTGGGAATTGAACCCAGGACCTCTGGAAGAGCAGCCAGTACTCTTAACCTCTGAGCCATCTCTCCAGCTCTAATTCTAAACTCAAAATTAAATGGAGCTTTCCAAGGAGTCTGGAAATTAGTTCTTCACCTAATGCTCATGCACTTGGACATGCATGAGCCACCTCCTCTGGGTTGTACCCAGGGCCTCATGCTTGATGCTAGGCAAGTGCTCCTACCACTGAGCTGTGCCCCAGACTCCTACAAATGCTATTGATTCCACTGAGGGCATGTTTAAACCCTTTCTCTGAGTATGAATAAATTACCTTCAAACTTGATCGAGGTCTTTTAGATTTGAGATTTCAAAACTGGTGGACAAGCATGAATTTGGGCAGAAACCTCCCCATAGTTATGACAAACAGATGCACCCTACTGGGTGTGTTGACAGTGAACAAGAGAACCATGAAAGGTTTTCTTTAAAAAGTCATTGTGGGGAATTAGCTGCCAGCCTAGGAGACAGACGAGCAGGTAAAATACTGCAAAGTCCTGTGAAACCCCTGCTGGCAAACTGAGTGAGTAAGATGGTCGAATATATGCTTCCAATCTCAAGTAGCTGGAAGGCCTTGCTCTGTGTGAAGACTGGAGGAGCCTGAGACACTCGGTGGGCTTCGGTGAGTGGAAAGCGTTTGTCTCACACTCTCTCCAGGCAACCACACTCCAACCACTGTCTTTCATAAACTGACAGGAAAGAGGGCCAGACTCCACTTACACTGTCTTAGAATCCCGAGATGTGAAGCGTTTATCTAATTATTCTTTATCAACAAAAAGTCAGGAGTCAGATCTTCTTCTTCTTCTTCTTCTTCTTCTTCTTCTTCTTCTTCTTCTTCTTCTTCTTCTTCTTCTTCTTCTTCT